AGCTCTTTTTTTATTTAAAAAAAAAAGGAAAGGAAAGAAAGAAAATTGAAGGATTACTTATTATAAACTGCACATTTCAGTCAGTAGGAATACTAGCTAGCATGAAAAATAAGGTTTTACTTTAACTGCCTAATATTTAGAATAATTCAGAAAATGAATATTAGATAAAGATGCAACATATTTCCATATGGTCAAATGCAACATAGTAGAACACTTCTTAAATGATATAACCTAGAGAAAAGTTTATAGTTTGATTTAAATTCTGCCCTGTGTCCTTACTCAGTAGTTCACTGTCAAAGACAACAGTGGAATATGCTTGACAATTAATTTCTGTAAAACTGCTATAGTCTTAAACATCCATAAGCTAATTTCAATGTAAATATTAACATCTCTCTCTATAAAGCAGTATCTCTCAAAGGGGTAAAATCAACCATGATTTCAAGTGCCAACAAGTTTGCAAGTAACAGAACATCTTTTTTGATCATTTGCTTTATGTTACAGGCACTTAAAATTTACTCATGGATATCCAACAGCAGCAGGATACTGTCAAATAAAGCAAAAACTTATTCTTGCTTTTAATATATGCTAACTTTTCTTAATAACTGGATTGAAGTAATACGAAAAATGATACCACTTTAAAACACAGCAATGTTTAAGGTACACTAATTCATTTCCTAAAATGTGTGCCTTACATAGTCATTAATCTCAAGGTGGCTCTCATCACAGAGCTTCAGAGAATATTTAGATACAGCACATTGCCTCACATCCCTAGCATTTTTGAAGTGGCAGTAGTCTAACTTCTGTCTATGGTCAAGAAGGGAAAAGACGGAGAGAGAGGGGAAAAAGGGGGCTTCTCTGTAGAAAGATTTGGCCTTGAAGTCAGTGTTTTTAAGATGTGCTAGTGATCTCGGATCGATACCTTTTTATTTTCTTTCAAGAATAAATCTGAGCAATGGAATGGCTTGCAATTGTCCAGTCAACCAGCCATATCAGATTTATCAGAAAGAAAGAATGAAAACTGGCTCAGAGGACTCCTGCAATGGCTGAGTGGCAGGCTGCTGGGAAAGACACGCACAAAAAGAATACCCTTAGTGATGATGGGGAAAATATATATTCATAAGTGTAAACTCAATAAATAATAAGATGTAAAAAAAGAACCTATAGCAATGGAAAGGGTGAATGCGTAAGACAGATGATAAATAGCACTTCTATTTAAGAACCAAAGGGATGAAAGCTCATGAATACTAAATATTTGAATCTACTTTAAGAAGAAAATATGGTTTTTCCTCAAATGAATGCAAACTCCAAAAATCAGTCAATGCAAACTCGGTGTGTTCAGGCTAGAGCAAAAAATACATAAATCTTCCACAAAGTGCATGCCCTGGTAAATATTCTAATGCAATTTCTTAATTAAGACACATATTCAGTGACTAAATGAAAATTATACATATAAAGGAGTAAGTACCTTGATTTCAAAAAATTTGACTTTCTATGCATGTATGATGAAAAAAATAAAAAGGAGTTTGGTTTAAGAAAAAAAATCAGAAATCAAGAAATCATGACACAACCAGAGCCATCCAATTTTACCATATCAGTCCACATTATAGTATTTTCAAGTGATTTGCAGTCACAATAAAAGGTATAAATTTATTTGGAAGCATTTTGAAGAAAAAAATTATACCTTACTTTAAAAAGGCTCCTTTTACATATATATGAATTTCAAAAATTGAAAGAAAAGAAAAAGCAGAAACTGTACTCATGGGTGTGCTTACAATAAATACATGCAGGGAGAGAACTGATTTTTTTTTAATTATATTGAACATCTTTTCATCATTTAACTAAGTTTTATTAATCTTTTTCTTCTCAAATGTTTAAAATTTGATTTTGGAGATATATCTTAAGGATGGAGAAAAAATATATGCTCTTTCATAGAATGAAAAGAAGAACTAAGTTACTTGCAAATAAAAAATAGGGGCTGAACTTGTTCATCATATATCTATTAAGGTGTGTAAGACCACCACTTAGGTACCACTGCACATATATACATATATATTTCAACACAAAGATGATACTGATCATTTTTCCATCATGGCAGGAAGACTGAAATTATGGAATTCTTCTTTTTAGAGATAAAGGTTTTATAACAGCCATATAAAGGGCTCTTGGCTATAATATTTCTTGATAAAACAAATCACTGGAAATGAGACAAAGTCCTTCAAAATAAAAAACAAAACAAAACAAAAAAAATCTTCTCTAAAGCTGATTTTTTTTCCCCAAGAGAAAAATAAGAACATGCCCTCTTCAGATACAACTATTTTATATCTTAGATCTATACAAGAACCCTGACCATCTCATATTTTTATTCTGTTCACATAGAGCAGTAAATAAGGTGCATTCCTTCTGCTTCTTAAGAAATTAGCATTTCAAAAATATGCCACTTTCCCCTGAACTCCAAGCGTGTCTAATAATGCGAGAAGCAGATTGTCTTCCCTCGTTTCCTTAATTTGTTTCATCTAAAAGCAATTCACTCAACATCTTGTCGCCCTCTGGCAGCTTAGTTTACTTATCCGCACTTAATTTCTCATTTGGACCAAAACAAACTCCTCCAAACTGCTACTGACGGCTAACCGCGAGAGGGGAGACACGCAATATGTATTTACTTGGGAACAGACAGCCATACATCCACAGCCACACACACACACAGAGCCTCGCTCACACCCCAGAATGTAACTTGGTTTTATAAAAGCACCACATTAAAACCAGCCGAACTTTCCCTATCAGGTGCGGCAGGGTGGGGGTGGGCAAGATTGGGAAAAGAAAAATAAAAAAAGGTGTCCTGGAGGCATTTAGAGTTTCCAGTGGATCACCTTAGCCTGCGTGTTGAAATTATACCAGGGAGGCAACCGGGAGCTTTTCTTTGTGCGGCCCTTTCATCTAGATCACTTTGTGTTTGGAACAAGTGAGGCTCGCCTTTGTGCCCCCAGAATTTCAAGTGCAGAGTCACACTCGGAACAACAATGGCACGCTAATCCTCGCGCTCTAAATGGGCTCACTTGTGTGGCTCTGACAATTCACGGGGGGAAAGCGAGAAGAGACCAGCGAGGGTGCGAGCCGGTGTCGCCAGAGACGAGGAAGAGGACAGCTGCAGAACTAATTTGGATTACATTCCTTGCAGAAATTCTGAAAAGGGCTTTTCGGCATAGCTCAAGCCCAAGCCGCACAGTTAATACCCAATCGCTGCGGACTCGCAGCCGGGTCCCCCAGCGGCAGAGGTTGCACCAGACAGCCCCCCAGTAGGTCGCCCGGTGGAAATTCCTCTCGGCTAAGCCTGCGTGTCAGTCGCAACTGCGTCTGAATGGGTCAATGTGCATAACCAACCCATTGAGGGGAAATATGAAGGGACGCGGAGTAGGGAGGGAGATAAAAAGGGATGTATCTAAGAGGCCGCTTGGAATCTCAAGTCGGTGTTGGTGTAATTCCGGAGGTGGCTGGAGCCCGGGACCTGGTATGCATGAAGAATTTCGGAGTAATTGGGAGGGTGCAAACGGCCAGAACAAACGGCGCACATTGTGCCATTCGAAGGTCATTTTGAAAGGCTCGAGGATTGTAACTTGTTATTTACTAGGCGAGGAGGGGCGGGGGAGGCGGCGGCGGCGGGGGCGGAGCGGGAAAACTCCGGCGCGCTGTTTTCTTGGTGAGGTCAGAAGGACACCCTCCGAGGGCCCGAAACTCTCCCTCTCGCCACTCAGCCGGGGCTTTATCTTCTCAAGATGCCTCCCACGCCCCCGCGAGCAGCCCCGTATGGTTCCGGAAATCTCCTCGGCTCTCCAAAAGGGCCCCCTTAGCCGCGTCAGTCCCCGGTTTTCCTGGCCCTTTCCTGTCCCACTTTCAGCCCTAGGAAACTCAAGTGTCAGAAACTTTGAGCTCCCTGGGCCCGCAGGGGCTGTCATCCACCCTGCGGGCCCCGCCGCGCCGCCTCCCCGGGGGTCAGTTCGCCTCCTGCCCCGCCGGGTCCCGGGGAGCGAGCTCTCCGGCCAGCAGTGGTAGCGCGCCGCAACACCCGCCTTGGGTTCAATCAATTCGCCTGACGGGTCGGCTCGGCAGCCGCGCCCGGCAGTAAACAGAAGTTGGAGGGACTCCGGCCAATAGCAAGTTGAACTACAGGAAGAACTCTTCCTGGAGCCAAACACAGAAACCGACGGGAAGGCCGGGCTCCTGGCTTAAGTCGGTCAAGCCATTAAAAAAAAAAGAGGTCAAGCAAGCAAGTCAGCTCCCCTTTAGTCCGCGGGGCGAGGGCTGGGGACGCCAGCGGAGGAGGCCTTGCGTTCCCGGGCCCCCCGGCCGAGGCGTGTCCTCCCGCCGTGCTCCGGATCCCAGGCTGGGCTCGAGTCGGGTCTGACCCCGCAGGCTCGGACGGCCAGGGACGCAGCGGCCGCGGGCAGCGCACAGGTGCAAAGCCGGCTCTCGGAGCTCCTCTCCCCACTGCCCTCCCGCTCCCCGGAGCCCAGCTGCCACGGCCCCGGGGCCCCAATCCTGCCCCGGAGCCCCGGGCGGGCAGCGCTTCTCCGAGACGTCTTCCCTCGCGGGCGGGGGCGGGGGATCGGCAGCGCGGCAAGGAGCGTCTCCTCTGACTCCGGCTTTGGGTCTCCCACGTCCCGCACAACAGGCGCCACCAGAAGGGATCCGGCTTAGGGAGGCTCGGGGAAAACGCGCGAGAAATAAACAAGGGGAGAGAGAGAGAGAAAAGGGACGGAGAAAGGGGTGCAGAGTGCTTTTTCGCGATAAATAAAACGCATGCCCACGCAGATGGTAAGTTTGGGATAGAAAGAGGGGCGAGCGAAAAACCCAAGGAAGAGGCGCGGGTGACGTGGTCCCTCCACGCCCGAGAGCGAGAGGGTCTCTGGTTGGGCGAAAGGCGCAGGGGGCGAGGAGCCGGCCGGCGCCGCTCGGCCGGCAGCAGCAGGTTCAACCCCGGGAGCGCGAGAAGGACCGCGACCCACCTGACTGAGAAGAGCTGGGCTGGACGGTCCCCGCCGCCACGAGAAGGCTCACCCAGACCCACAGTCCTGTCGCCAGCTTCATTTTTTGGAAGTCTCAGATCCAGTGCTGACAATTACATGTCCAAATGGCATAATCCCCTTTCGGGCACGCGGAGGAGATCCCTCGGCCGGGCGCGCGTGGGGGCGCGAGGGGCACTGGCGCGCGCGGTGCACCGGCTCCGAGCGCGGGCGACTGAGTCCGCGTCCGCGGGTCTAGGGCCCGGACCCGGAGGACCGGGAGAGGGTGCGCGGGAGGGCGCGCGCGGGTGGGAGTGTACTGGAGGGTGTGCGGCGGTGTTCCGAGCCGGACCGGGCAGCTACGTCCCCGTGTGAGCCTCCGCTTTCTCGCTCCCTCCTCACTTTCTCGCTCGCTCTCCCTGGTTGGTCAACAATAAAAAGGAAGGGTTCGGAAAAGGGTTTCCAAAAAAAAAAAGTTGATTGCAAACAGGCGGTAGGTTTCCGGCCTCTCCCCCCAGCCGGACTCTGTTCGACTCCCGTTTCAGTTTCCTTGCACCTCCAGTCCAAATTGGGAGGAAAGGGGCGGGGGGGGGGGGGGAAGCTTCTCGCTTCACCCCCGATCCTGTCCTTTTTTTGTTTTTTTTTTTTTTTTTGCTGTCAGCTTTCCTCACACTTGTCCGGCGGCTGCGGTAATTAAAGCTCCGAGCGTCATTTCCAACGCTCCGCGGTCTCCAGCTGCAGCCCCACCGAGAAATTAATAAGACTCCGTCCGGGAGGGAAAAAAAAAAAAAGGTTGGTGGGGGGGCGGGCGGTGGGTAAAACAACCCTCCACGCAACCAGGCCGGCTCGGCTCAGCGGCGCAAACCCCGCCCCCGCTCTGACCCAACTAGCCACGCCTTCCCCCCAAAGGGAAATCTTATTGGTTCAGCCACTCCCCAAAATCGTGGGCCTCAGGAGTTGGGAAAACACCTGTCAGGGAGCGGGGAGCCTAGCGGTGGGGGCGGGGGAAGCTGGATTTAAAGGGCTCACCGGAGGCCACGAAGTGAATCAGAGACACCACCCCTCCATCTCCAAACACACGCCGGACAGCTGGCCCGGACAGCACGCAGACCACCCGAGGGATGCTTACAGAAATTTTTTTTTTTTTTGCCAGAAAGTCACCATTTACTCCACACTCCACGGTGCTCATCCACAGACTGGACCTGCCGTAGAAATAAAAGAAAAGAATACGCTGCTTCAGTTGTAGTAGCCTGCCTCGCTTCCTACTTCCTCGTGCTTCACATTCAGACAGTAGTTCAAAAGCTGGTTCAGTAATTGTTAACATCTGGCGAATAGGTAGTCCTGGGAATCTAAGCACTCCTCTTTCTTCAACTATACAGTCTCTCCCATCATTCCCACGCTCGCAAATTGATCAAACTAGAGTTTCACATTTGGAGAGCTGCATCTTTAGATTTTTTAGACTTTATGGCGTCATTTCATCTTTTCCTTGGACTCTAGGACAACTTGGTTTTACGTTCATTCTCATTAAGCAGATTCTAGTCCAAAGCCACCAGTTTGGTTCTAAATGGCTAGAAATTGTCCCAGGGCTGAGCTGCTCAGTTTGAAATAACTTAAGGCATATGTCAGGATATAACCAACCTTAAATAATCAGGTTTATCCTACAGTAGATCCTGCTTTAGTCCTCTTCCATGTTCGCACTCCATGACCTCCAGAGGTCATTGCTAGCCATAGGAGTTTCTAGACTCTTCTTGGTCTAAAGCATATGGGATTGGATCATATCAGCGCACATATCCCTTGCTTTTTACAGCCCAGGACAGAGGCCAGAACCTCCTGAGGGCAGGAGATTATTGGTTTGCTATTTGCACAGGCGTTCTATGAATGAATTATTTTCCCTTTTCAGCTTCTTTAGAAGCAGCAACTACATAAATAAAAAGTATCAGGGGAGCTTAAAAATTAAGCCACCCTGCCTCCTCACTCATCATTTGAGACCTTCCTATTCCTCCCCCACATCTTTTATCTATAGTCGTGTCCCTTAAGAATTTGCGTGGAGTTGGAACAGAGTGAAACAGCAGCTTCTTCCCAGAGGCCTGAGCCTTCCCTTTCTTAGGCCCACAGCAAGTAAGAGGAAGAGAGGAGGCCAAACAAGCTGAGCATGCAGCTTTCCCCAGAAGTAGCATAGGGCTGGAAGAAACTAAGTCTTGAATAGGTGATGGGGACTTGGCCAGAGTGGTACTGACTGCAGCAGAAGTGTTCACACTGCTCTTTGGGATTATCTTTGCTGTTTTTTTCACCCTCTTCCCTTTTTCTTTTCTTTCATTCAATCTCTTTCCACTCCCGTTTCCCTAAATCCCATTGTGTTTCTTAGGATGACTCTCAAATACCTCTCTTCCATAAAAGCTACTTCTTTTAAAAATTTCCACCTCTCCCCAGAAACGCAACTTAAGTGATTCTTTTAAAAAAGTATTGCTTTTGGAAAAACTTAAATTTTTGTATTGAAAAAGTCTTCTTTCTGACAAAAATTACTTTGCATGAAATGAAGAAATAGTGTATTTTAGCTTAAATTGAGGGGAAAATTAAATACTCTGGATATTTTAAGTTTTTTTCTACTTGAGTCCATTGTAATAGTTTTTACTCCCCGTCAATTTGATAGTTCTGTTGGGGCAGCAACTCTCCTATATACTTTGGTTTCAATCATGTATCTAAAATAATTCTTGGTAAAAGAGGTACTTCAGTTAATATTCATTGGTTTAAAAAATTGGTCTTATATATATTTTGGATGCTAGACAACCTATACAAGATACCCACCAATTACATTAGACTTGACACACCTGTGATTTGCCTTTAATCCTCAAGTTGTTCAGGCTTGATCCCATTTTCCTGGTTCTAACTGATTGATTGATATTTGGCCAAAGTTGTGTATCTGACCACTAGCCTATGGAATGAATTGGCATGAAATCCCTACTCAAAAAGAGCATCCTATTCAATGGTGACTGGTCTATTCTGAGTCTAGCTCAAATAATTTGGATATTAGAGCCCAGAGATTTAGACAGGAAGGTGGTACTCTGTATGGGCATACAGGAAGAGTGAGAAAGTAGAAGTCATGAGCTAGAGTCAAAAATTAATTCTTTCTATTTCTACTTTCATTTGTTTTCCATCTCAATTGAATCATTCTAAGTTGAGACACTCCAAGTTCCAAGTTATACCAGTTAAAATGCCTTGGTCACTGTTGATCAGATGAGAGATGGTCACTCCCAATGAATTTCTCCCCTTGGATTTTTGTGCAAGGGAATAAAAGAATTCATTTTCAGTCATTCTGTGGTGGCTTTTGAGATATAAAAGTTCAGAGGTGGCTTGTCTATATTTCTTTCTTTGTAGGGATGACCAAGGTGCAGTGAGAAAGAAAGAAGTTGCCATTTAAGGAGCAAAAGATCAGGTAGGTGTGGAAAATATTCAGGCTCTTCTGGTGGCTTTGTTGTTCAAATCTCTTAAGCTAGTTCAGTTCTATTATCTGAAGCCAGAACAGCATGGCATGGTAAAGGAACTCCGCTAATCTGCGAGGGATACAGACCATCATATCCCCTGAAGAAGGTACCTTGATAAGACTCATGATGATCAGTTTCCATTCCCAGTTTCTCATGATTTCCCTTGGCCTAAGTTATAACCCCAACAAAGAAATTCCTTTGGCCTTTGCTGCCCCCCATATCCTCTTTTTTTCACTTCATTTCCTCCATCAGTGGTAGAATTCAAGGAGAATCTTGACACCATGAGTGGCAAAATACTAGTGGTAGGAGAAAAGAACTGATCTCAGAATTCACTGTATTGGGGACAAATACCAAGTAAGAAAAGAGAACAAGAACTTATCATGAATCATTATCTTCTCCTGAACATTTAGAAATAAATACAGAATTCTAATTTCCCTCCCTGGCCAGCATCATCTTACTCAACCTGTTTCTAAGTTATCTGGTGATCATAAGCAACTCACTTCACAGACTTGAGCCCTTTGCCTCATTGTTAAAGAAAAGGATGGTTATGCCCCAAATATAAGACTGTATGAATCTATGATTTACTGATTACTTACTAAGTACAAGTCACAACTTCCACAGATTTCATTTACTTCTTATATTTTTTCCCTTTTCCCCACTCACTCCTATATACTCCTTCATCTGGGGCACCAACACAGCCACATATTAAACTGCCTTAGGAAAATATCCAAATAACCTTGCTACTATATTACTGTGAACTGCTCAAAACTCTGGATCTTTACTATTCTAACAGCCAAGAAATTTTGGTAGATACAGTCAAGTTCAGTATTATGATAATCAAGCAGATGACAGATGCAGTGTTTTTGCCTTTGGTTGGCTGCTTTTTATTAACTAGCACTTGAAATAACATCGTTGCTCTTAACCCAAGAGTTTTGAAATTCTCTGATACTTTGGTGATGTTCAATTTCTCAAAGCTTAAAAACAAAATTTAAAATTTCAAACATTTAAAAAATTCATAAATATACATTAAAGAAATGTTTTTGTTACTTTAGTTAATTTAATATTCAAAGAGGACCTCCCTGGGAATATTTGGTTTTGGTTAATGTTTTCTTTTATGTGCATGATTAAGCCTTAATTAATGACACCACCCTTATGACAGAAAGCAAAGAAGAACTGAAGATCCTGTTGATGAAAATGAAAGAGGAGAGTGAAAAAAAAAAACTGCCTTAAAACTCAACATTCAAAAAACCAAGATCATGGCATCTGGTCCCATCACTTCATGGCAAATAGAGGGGGAAACAGTGGAAACAGTGACAGATTTTATTTTCTTGGGCTCCAAAATCACTGCAGATGGTGACTGCAGCCATGAAATTAAAAGACGCTTGCTTCTTGGAAGAAAAGCTATGACCAACATACATGGCATATTAAAAAGCAGACACATTACTTTATTGACAAAGGTCAGTCTAGCCAAAACTTTGATTTTTCCAGTAGTCATGTATGAATGTGAGAGTTGGACCATAAAGAAAGCTGAGCGCAGAGGAATTGATACTTTTGAACTGTGGTGTTGGAGAAGACTCTTGAGAGTCTTTGGACTGCAAAGAGA